CCCCTGCCCCTCCTCCTTTCCCCTGCCCCTCCTCCCCTGCCCCTCCTTTCCCGACTCTCATTCTCACAGACCCTCCTTTCTTCTGACCTCCTCTTGACCCTGACCCTCCTCCCCACAACCCTCCTCTCTCCTGCCCCTCCTTCCCATTGCCATCCTTTGTGTCACTTCCAGTCCCCCACCTCCCATTCAGAAGCAGGCCACACTGGGTTCCTGAGGAGCAAAAGGGGAAGGTTAGACATGAGATTTGCACCTCAAGGTCTGTTTGGGCACTAGGTGCTGGTGCCACATCTGGTAAAATGTCACTCAACCCCAGGCCCCATGAGTACCTGATGGAGGGTAGTCTGTTGAGGAGAGACCTGCTGGTGGGGCAGAGCCCTGTGGTGGACGATACGGTGCTGGGGTGACCAGACTTAGCGGAGATGGATTCTTGGCCAGCAGAGGCACTGCTGGGAGACGCAGTCACTGTCTGGGACTCCGTGGTCCTCCTGGATCCCTTTCTGGTGGTGCTGGTACCAGTGAAGCTGTAGCCTCTCTTGGAGGCAGGTCCAGTGGAGGCCAAGAGGGTAGCCAAGGTAAAGAGTCCAGGGGTGAACACCATCACGCCAGTGGTGAAAGGGGCATCAGGGCCTGAGGTAGGGGCTTGGCCAGTTGTAACAGTTTCACTCTTGAGGACGTTGGCCGGATGTGTGAAAGGAGCGTTCCTCTCAGTTTTGGGAGCTGAAGGACAGAGAGGGAGGAAAGTCAGACTAACTTGGGGGCCTCAGTGCTGGGAGCAGATCCTGGCAGCCCACACAGTTTCCCAGACGCTGGGATGGGGCCCTGTGCTCTGCTCTTCTCCTTGAGCTTGGGCCTAGGATGCTGGCTGCTGAGTGATCAGATGTGTATTTGTTCAGAAAGCGATATCAGGAAGAAAGAAGTAGGCGTACTGAAGAAGGGAGGGACTGTGATTTATTTTTCTGTCGCATGTCAGGCCACCTGTTCCCTCTCCATCCCCATCCCTCTCCTGTCACTTTCCAGGCCCTCTTCCTTCCTGTAGGCCAAAAACATTTCCATAAAATCATGTCAAGCAGGGACTTTTCCAGCTGTTACGTCGTTGACAAGTAAGGTCCAGAGATGAGGACAAGGAGGGATCAAGGGCCTCAAATTCCAAAGAAAGCTGCAGTCATTGGGCTCAGACACTTTCCTTAGGAGCTCACTCAGAGATATCAGACTGGTCCTGCTACACTCACCCATCAACCCAGCCCTTTTCCACCCCATTTTCTAGAAGAAACCTGGGTTTTGGATAGTGGATAGAGGGAGGCGGAGGAGCTTTGAGGCCTCAACCTAGCAGTGAGTGTTGGTCTGTCTCAGCATGGAATGAGAGAATTGGAGAGAGAGGCTGCTGCATCCCGCTACTGTGCATGGAAAGGACAATTTCATAAGGGCCAAATGGTCATCATGGAAACTGATGGAAAGTGGCTGCACTTGAGCCATTTTTCTGGGGAAAGAAACTCAAAACAAGCAGCATTGGTGAGGATGGAGCAAGAGGCTCACCTGGAGCCAGAGCTCCCACATCGTCACACTCAGCAATGGGGGCACCCCTGAAGAACTCTTCAGAGAACTCACACATCAGTGCCTTGGGAGAGCATGTGGACACTCAGAGAGACTCTCAAAGGGCTAGCAGACAAGGAATGACATCCACCAGAGAAAACACTCCTACAACACTCAGTTAAGCCACATAACCATCTCCCCCACCCTCATTCCTGCATCAACATGCTGAGAGGGCCAGGAGGAGAAAACCAAGAGGAACCCCACCTTCCCCACACCCCAAGATACAGGATGGGGAGCTGGGCAGCCAGCAACCTTCCTTCTCCACTTTAGGTGCCTTGGGCCATACAACCTGGTCTTCAGGGGTCAGCAGAATATCCTATACTGCTATGACTAGAGTTTATAATTGGACTAAGGATTATTAAATTTTCTAATAACTGACAAGGTCTGCAAAGTTGGAATTTTCACAAATTGTCCTCAAGAAGTGGAAAGTGAGATTTGACATAACATGATTAGGGGAAATGATGAGAAAAATAAAATATTTAATGTTTCTGACCCTACAAATTAAGACTTCGATGAACCAGCTTCAACTTCCCTGCATCTAACTCAGAACTGGAGAGGGGAGGAATGAAATTTGGCTCCACATTTTAGCGACAGCATTTTCCCTAGCTCGGACCCCATGGAAGACGCAGCTGCAATTGGGTTCGGGGAAGAGGGAAGGGTGGATACTAAATTGCATAATAACTAGCTGCTTTTTTCAGACTCTTTAGCTGACTCCTTTCCCTTTTCTATTTTATAAATGCAGAAGGACCTCACAGCTTGGTGTTCCACTCTTTTTTTTGCCTACACTCAAGGGAGAGCTTTCAGATCTTGATATTTTTTTGGCAACTTTATTGAGATATAACTCACATCCCATTTATAGTATAAAGCTCAATGGTTTTTTAGTATGTTTACAAAGTTATGCAATCACCATCATGGTGAATTTTAGAACATCCTCATCGTCTCCAAAAGAAACCCCTTACTGTATATCTATGACTCTGTATCCCCTTTTCCTCCCTCTAACCCTAAGCAACCACTAATCTACTTTCTGCCTCCATAGATTTCTCTAATTCCCTGGACTTTAAATAGTATCTTTATAGAGATACTTTCAAATACATACCCCAGCTCTGACCTCTCACCTGAGCTCCAGACAGATATATCCACTGCTGGCTGCATTTCCCCACCTAGGATTCTAGGAGGTATCTTAAACTTAACATGACAAAAGAGAGCTCTTGATTTTTCTTCTCCAGATTAGCTCCTCTTTCAGATTTACCCTTTGCAATCAATGGTACCATCATCCACCCGCTGATGAAATAGAACACCTTGGACCATCCATGATTCCTCCTCTTGGCTCACCTCTCAATTGAGCAAATCCTGTCCTGCCACCAAAACGTACAAGCTGAACAGAAAGTCTGAAAAACAGACTTGAGCCCATTCACATCTCTCTGCCACTGGTGCCTACATTGTACTCCAAGCCATTGTTATTTCCCACCAGATGCCCACAGTGGCCTCTGCTCGTGTTCATCCTCAACAAGTGGCCGCTACATTCTTAAAAACAAGTCATGACACACTCTCTGAGCTCTCTATTAGCTTCCTCTTATACTCAAATTCCACCTTATGGTCTTCAGGGCTTCCTGACTCTCCAACCCCATCGTTTATTGTCCCACACTCAACAGGGAGTCACTAAACAAGCCAAGTTCCTTCTGACCTCAGAACCTTTGCACATGCAGCTCTCGCCACAAAGTGCCCTTCAAAGCACCAAGATTTCAACAGGGCTGGAGAACGCTCACCATTTAGGGCTCTGTTTGGTGTCGTATACTCAGGAGGTGGTTTCTGACCCCCAGTACTTCAGTAGCTCCCCCCTCACTGAGTCACGCCCTAGTTCATGAATACCTCTAGTTATCTGCAATTATTTGAAACACTTCCTTCTTGTGAACACCTCTGGTTATCTGCTATTGTTTGCCTGGATAACAGATGTGCCTGTCATCTCCCATAGGACAGGACTGTGAGTGTTTTTGCTCACTACTGTCTCCTTAGAGCCTAGAATAGTGCCTGCCACATAATAGGGGCTGAGTGCATTATGGTGAAGCAATGAGTGAATGAAACACAGCACAGACAGTCCCAAGGCTGAACCTCATCTCAGCCACCTGCTAGCTTTGGGACCCTGGACAAGCTCAGAGTCACATTGGGTTTTCAGGTCTCATTATCTTCATCTGTAAATGGTGACAATAGTGACATGAATCATGCCATAAAGGCACTCTGAAAACACTACAGTGCCACATGGCCACGGATGGGTTACTATCCGTATCATCTCTGATGTTAGTGGAGTGCGGGGCAGGGAGGACTCTGTCCACCTGTCCGAGTGCCCCTCCAACCCACTCACCTGGAAACACGTCCAGCTGGATGCCCAGCATGGGGTACAGGGTCCCGGAGCTGTTGCGCATGCACCAGTATCGGCCAGAGTCCTGGAGCGTGAGGGCCGCCATGGTGATGTGGACCACCTTGGCCTGGGCATCGTCCTGCAGCAAGTAGCGGGGTCCCTTCACCCGGACTCGGGTGAAGCCAGGCTCACACTTCTTCCTCCTGACTTTGCACCAAACCTTGCCGTCCACGCGGTTTCTGTAGCCCTTGTAGGAGCACAGCACAGACAGAGTCTCCCCTTCAAGGAGTCTCATTTTTGTGTATGCGCTCTCAGCGGGGGGACCTGGGGAGACAAGGCTTGTGGAATAAGGTCTGGCCAGAGCAGAGGGAGAAGCATCATGAACGTTGAAGATCGTGGTGAAGGGTGACGTGGATATTGTCCTGCTGTCATGGAACCCACATGACTGAGGGGGAAATACAGCCCCACCCTCGGGGAGCTTGCCCCAGTCTGAAGGGTGGTTCACCAGCCCTGAAAACAGCTGGCACCCAGTATTATGGGGGAGACACAGGCCCCTCCCTTAGGGAGCTTTCAGTCTGTTGGAGGAGGCAGGTTTACCCCTCAGGGAGCCCCAGTCTAATGGAGGAAACGCAGCCCTGACCTCGGAGCCGCATCAGACACACCCCTTTCCTCATGGTATTCTAGTCTGATGGGAGAGCGACAAGCTCTGTCTTCAGGGATTCCCAGGGAATTCTTATGGGATAGACTCAGGTCACACCCTCAGTGAGACAGATGCAGACACAAACACAAGTCATTAAGTTCTGAAATTTCAGTGCCCAACTAATTAGGTAGATAAGAAA